TGGTGGTTACAGCTCCCATGGCTTCTCTCTTTGGCTGGCTTTGGTCTCTCCTTGCAGTTTTCTCCAGATGGTCCAGGAGAAAACTGGCTTCTCCAGCCTGCTGGGATCTCCACTGCACTTTTGGCTTCACATTCACAACACCCGCCGCCCTCAGAGGCATGCTGCCTGGCCTGCCGGGCCTTCTTCTGAAATCTGGGAGGAAACTTTTCTGACCCCACAACTCTTGCATCCTTCATGGCTCTGAAACCAGCACCACATGGATGACACCAAGGTCTGCTGCCAGCTGGAGCAGTCACCAGGCTGCCTTTTCTCTTGGCTATCAGAGTCCAGTGCCCATGATCCAAATCCAGAGAAACAACTTCCCTTGGCTGCTGCATTCTGGAACACAGTGCTCAGGCCTCTCTTCTCAAAGAAAAGTCTTTTACTTTTGCAATTTTGAGGCTGCAAAAGGTGCAGCCTTGCTGCTTCCTGTGATGCCCTCGGGCCATTTTTTCTATTCTCTGGTTCCTTTTCAGCTATCAATACTTACTCTTTACCAGAGCTTCCTTTCTGGCCAAACTAAAAAAATCATTCTTCTGGGCTTTGCTCTTTTTTTTTTTTTTAGACAGGATCTTGCTATGTAATTGCGTTTGCGCGACTGACCTGGAACTCACTATGTAGTCCAGGCTGGTCTCAAACTCACAGCAATCCTCCTGCCTCAGCCACCTGAGTGCTGGGATTATAGGCATGTGCCACCATGCCCGGCTTCTTGAATGTTTGTTTGTTTGTTACTGGGGATCGTGGGGATCGAACTCAGGACCTTGTACTTGCAAGGAAGGCGCAGAACCACTGAGCTAAATCACCTGGAACTCACTATGTAGTCCAGGCTGGTCTCAAACTCACAGCAATCCTCCTGCCTCAGCCACCTGAGTGCTGGGATTATAGGCATGTGCCACCATGCCCGGCTTCTTGAATGTTTGTTTGTTTGTTACTGGGGATCGTGGGGATCGAACTCAGGACCTTGTACTTGCAAGGAAGGCGCAGAACCACTGAGCTAAATCTCTGGCCTGCTCTTGAGTCATAACACAGATCTGGTTAAAGCTTCCAACAGTAGCCATGCCACCAATGCACTATTTTGAAATTTCTCCTGCCAGATTAATTAGTCTGCCACCCTTAGTCTTAGTCTTAGGCAAAGTTTCTCCACATGAGCAGAACGCAGACACTTTCTGCCAAGGCATAACATACATCATCGGGAGTGCAACAGCCAGTGCAGTCCTTTTTCTCAGCAGAAAAGTCCTGAGCTTGGTCTTAACCTGTAGCACTTCTATCAGCATTGTGGTCTGCTAAGCTCTGACCAGAATCTCCCGTCAAGTGCAGCCTCAGGTGCTCCAGCTCTGTTTGCTCGGCCGGCATCTGCAACCCTTTCCTATTTCCTCCCCTTTCCACAAGCCGGCTCCAAAGGCTCCTAAACCACATGGTCAGGTACAGTCACAGCAGCGATCCCATTTCTCTGATCCCAAATTCTATCTTAGTTATTTTCTCATTGCTGAGACAAAATACCCAGCACCCAAAGTTAAAGGAGAAAAGGTTTATTTAGCTCACAGCTTGTAGAGGTTTCAGCGCATACTTGGCTGGCTCCAAGGCAGGGTGGCATCACAGAGGAGAAATAGTCCACAGCAAGCAGGCAGGCAACAGCAAGCAAGGGGCTTTTTCTTTTCCTTATATCTCATCCAACTACTTAGGGCAGGTAGCACTCACACCCTTAATTCTAGTGCCCTTGAGTCTAGCATTGCATCGTGAATTGGTTCCAGAGTCACACACTCTAGGCCCAGCCAGTTCTGAAAAACCCCACCTATGACCTCATGAAGCTTTCAGAAGACTTTTTTTTTTTTTTTTTTTTTTTTTGGTACTGGGATTCAAACTCAGGACCTTGCACTTGGCAGGCCGGCAAAGCATCAATGAGCTAAATCCCTGTCTCTCAGGAGACATCTAAACACAATTCAAAACACAAACCAACCTTATGAATAAACCTAACAAAGGAGGTGAAAGACCTCTAAGATGAAAATTGTAAAACAAGAAAGAAACTGAAGAACATATAAGAAGATGTGAAAAATGCCCAAGTTCATGGATTGTTTAAAGTTTTTCTTTCTTCTTTTTTCTTTTGTGTTTTTAATTGGAAAATTTTAAAAAATTTGTTTACTTATTTAATTATGACATGGAGTATTGGACCTAGGACCTTTGCACTGAGCTACATACTCAGCCTTTTTATTTTTATTTAAAAATTTCAGGGCCGGAGATTTAGCTCAGCGGTTTGGTGGCCTGCCTTGCAAGCGCAAGGACCCAAGTTCAATCCCCAGTACCTAAAAAAAAAAAAAAAAAAAATTTCAGACAGGTTCTCACTAAGTCACTAGGTTGCTCTAGACTATGCTCAAAGTTTTTTGATTTTTGTTTTTTGGTGCTGGGGATTGAACTCAGGCCCCTAAGCTTGCGAGGCAGGTGGCAAAACCACTGAGCCAAATTCCTGGCTCACAAAGTTTTGATCCTTCTGCTTCGGCCTTCTAGAGTGTTGGGATTACAGGCACACACTTCCATGCCTTTATTATTTGTTTGTTTATTTATTTGATTCTTTTTTTTTTTGAGACAGAGTCTAGCTATGTAGTGCAGATTGGCCTTGAACTCATGATTCTCCTGCCTTAACTTCCTACATTTAGGATTATTGGCATGTATCAAGATGGCTGACTTAATTGGGAGAATTAATGTTGTTAAAATGGCTGTATTTCCAAAAGTGATCTACTGATTCAATACAACTCCCATCAAAATACCAACGATATTCTTCACAAAACTGGAAAAAAGTACCCGGCATGGCGGGTACACACCTATTATTCCAGCACTCAGGCAGGAGGCTGAGGCAGGAGGATCACTGTAAGTTCATGGCCAGCCTGGGCTACATAATGGGGCCGGGGACTGGCTCAGTGGTTCTACCACCTGCCTTGCAAGTGCAAGGGCCCAAGTTTGAACCCATACCACACACACACACACACAGACTCTGGCTGGGTGTGTTGGTGCGTGCCTGTAATCCCAGGACTCATGAGTCTGAGGCAGGAGGATCACTGTGAGTTCGAGACCAGCCTGAGCTACATAGTGAGTTCCAGGTCAGTCTCAACTATATAGTGAGACCCTGTCTCAAAAAAAAAAAAAAAAAAAAAAA